CTGCAACCCTTCAGTCCTCAGGCCGACGCTCTAACCACTGAACCAAACCAGCCAGGGCAAAATGTTGCACTTTAATCATAATTTAAAAAACACAACCACAGAAAAGCACATTGGGTTGGGGTTTTTTTTGGGGGGGGGGCTCCCCATTTCTTTTCAAAAATTACATATGGATGGTGAGGACCAAGGAGGAACACTAACTTTTCTAAGCTTACACAGTCAGCTGGTAGTGTAGCAGGGACCAGAATTCAAGTTTCTACCTCCCAGTGTGGTGCTCTTCACATTCCATCATCCTGTCTGTTCCAGTTTTAGGAGCTTGAGCAAGTCACTTTGCCTCTCAGACCTCAGCTGTCTCATCTATAAAATGTAAATGAAATCTAAATTAACTAGAGACAGCTGGGAAATATGTCCTCTTGGTGTCCCTTCTTGTTTTCAACCAGTCAACAAAGATTTTTAAAGACCTAATATCAAGTAATGGAATACTCAGCCAGAAGAGCTTTATTTGCCTCTTAGACAAAAACAAGTCAGGAGGTAGACCTAATAGTTGGTACTAGTTCAGTGGTTCGATGATATTAGATGATGCCATAAGAAACTCTATCTTCCTATTTCATCATATTTAGTGTTGGCTTCTTATCTGCATTATTGTTGCCTTGTGGTTGCAAGATGGCTTCTGCAGTCCAGATGTCACATTCTTTTTCTAACTTTTATTTAATGCTTTAAAAATAACAAACAAGTAACAAGGTATTTTGAACTTGTTCTTTTATGGAAACCCTTTCAAACTGAGGAAAATCATTCCCTTTATAGTTGATTAGAGCTTTTTTGTTTAAATCATGAATGAATGTTGAAGTTTGTGAAACATTATTTTTCTGCATTGATTGAGATCATATGAATTATAGAGCTGTTTCCTTTATTCTGCTTATGTAATAAATGACATGGATTGATTTTACTCCAACCTTGTATTCCTTGCAAAAATCCCACTTGGATAAGCTATCTTACATTTTGTAGATATTGCTGGATTTCATTTGCCAATATTTTGTTAGAATTTTTGCATCTGTGTTTCCAAAGGATATTGACATATAATTTTATTTCTTTTTTATTTCTTGGTGGCAGGATTATTCTGACCTTACATTACAAGTTAGAAAGTGTCCCCTTCTCTATTTTTCTGAGATAATTTATGTAAGATAGGAATGATTTCCTTTTTATGTAATTGATAACATTTATGAGCTCAGGTTTTCTGTTTCTTCTCATGTCAACTTTGGGATATGTTTTTCAAATAATTTTTCCATTTTATATCTAAATTATTGAAATTATCAGCATAAAGTTGTTCATAATGCTTTCTTATTTGTTCAATTTTGTAGGATCTGTAATGATGTTTCTCTTTTATTTGTTGTTTGTGTTTTCTTTCTTTTTTTCCCCCCAATCAATCTCATTAGGAGTTTATCTATTTTATTAATACTTTTCAAGAACTAACTTGTGGCTTGTTAATTTTGTCTTATTTTTAAAAATTATTTTCTTTTTCTTCTACTCACTTTAGGTTTACTTTGCTTTTCTTATCCTAACTTATTAAGATGGAAACTTAGATAATAAATTTCAAACTTTTTTCTTTATTAAAATGTACTTTTAAATCTATAAATTTCTTGGCAAGTACTGCTGTAGCTGCATTTCATCATTTCATGAACTCTTATGTATTTCATTATCATTCTATTTGAAATGTTTTCTGATGCTCTTAGAATTGTGCCTGGCATAATTCTAGTAAGTGGTATCTCTTATTAGCTTAGTTTTTTTGTTTCTCTTGTTAAAAATTGAGAATAAATTGGTGGATCACTCTGACAGTTCTATTCCTTTCCTTCTGAGCCTCTTCTGTTTCCACTGCCTGAAGCAATACTCCATATAGGCCCAAGATACATCCTTCTTCTAGTTAATTTCTATTCATCTTGAAAGTGTGACTTCAGATATCATCTCCTCAAAATAGCCTTCCTTGATGACCCAGACTGAGATGGTCCTCTCACATACTGGGTTGAACAGTGTCCCCCCCATCCCAATGTTCATGTCCACCCAGAACCTGTAAATGTGATCTTATTTAGAAACTAGAGGCCCAGTGCACAAAAATTTGTGCACTGGGGGGGGGGGGCAGTCCCTCAGCCCGGCTTGTGCCCTCTCGCAGTCTGGGACCCCTCGGGGGATGACCACCTGCTGGCTTAGGCCTGCTCCCCGGGGGATTGGGCCTAAGCTGGTAGTCAGACATCCCTCTGGCAGCCCAGGAGCCCTCGGGGAGATCCACTTGCCGGTGGGGAGCAGGCCGAAACTGCAGTCGGACATCCTTAGTGCTGCTGAGGAGGCGGGAGAGGCTCCTGCCACCACCACTGTGCTGGCAGCCATCAGCCTGGCTGTGGCTGAGCAGAGCTCCCCAATGTGGGAGTGTACTGACCACCAGAGGGCAGCTCCTGCATAGAGCGTCTGCCCCCTGGTGGTCAGTGTGTGTCATAGTGACCAGTCATTCCCAGTTTCTGCTGTTAGGGTCAGTTTGCATATTACCCTTTTACTATATAGGTTAGAGGCCTGGTGCATGGGTGGAGGTTGGCTGGTTTGCCCTGAAGGGTGTCCCGGATCAGGGTGAGGGTCCCACTTGGGTGCCTGGCCAGTCTGGGTGAGGGGCTGATGGCTGTTTGCAGCTGGTCACACCCCCTTCAGAGTGGGGACCCACTGGGGTGCCTGGCCAGTCTGGGTGAGGGGCTGACGGCTGTTTTCAGGCTGGCCTGCAACTGAAGCTCCCAGCCTCTCCTTTTTTTCTTTTCTTTTTTTTTATTCTGGGATTTATTTACCTTCTGTAATTGAAGGTAAATAAATTCACTGGCGCTCCCAGCTCTGAGGCCGTGGCTGGCTGAAAGCAGGTATCTGGGGTTTGTTTAGCTTCTATCATTGAAACTTTGTTGCTTTTGGAGCTGTTGCTTTTGGAGCTCAGAGCTAGGGCGTGGCAGGTGGGGAACCTTGGCTTCCTCCATCACTGGAGCAAGCAAACCTCCTGCTCGCTTCAGCTGTGTGGCTGCCGGCCGCCATCTTTGTTGGCAATTAATTTGCATATCTTGCTGATTAGCCAATGGGAAGCATAGCGGAGGTACAGTTAATTACCCTATTTGTCTTTTATTAGATAGGATAGGGTCTTTACAGATGCAATTACATTAAGAAGAGATCATACTGGATTAGAGTGGGCCCTAAATTCAACATGACTGGTGTCCTTGTAAGAAGAGGGAAATTTGGACATAGACACACAAAGCTGAACATCATGTGACAAGAGAGGCAGAGACTGGAGTGATGCATCTACACACTGAGGAACGCCAATGATTGCCACCAACTACCAGAATCTAAAATCCTCCCCTAGAGCCTTTCAAGAAAGCATGGCCCTGCCAACACCTTGACTTCAGACATCTAGCATCCAGTACTGTGAAAGAATACATTTCTGTCATCTAAAGATACCCATTTTGGGGTAGTTTGTTACAGCAGACCTAGAAAACTAATTCACCATGTAACATGTTTTCATACTTCTTTATACTTTCTTTCCTAGCTCTTAGTAAACAATCATTACATATGAATTATCAGGAAATACGGATGGTGCAATAGTATTAGTCTGGCATTTTTGTGGAGACCTCCTTAATAGAGACCGTCATAATCTAAACCAGTATCACAAATGGTAAGGACTTTAAAGGGCATGTAATTTTGAGGGATCATGTCAGTGGCCAATTACTTCAGCTTCTCAGAGCTAGCCTTAGGTGCATGTCACAGAGGTTTCTAATGTGTAAGTTATCCAAGCAGGTCTTTTTTTTTTTTTTTTTTTTTTTTTTTTTTTTTTTAATAGTAACAGATTGCCAGAAGGACCCTGAGGTAAGAGTCAGAACCATTGGTTCTGCTTCCCACTTCACCTCCAGGGGATCCTGAGCAAGTTCCTTAGCAGTAAAAGGAGACTGTTTGGACTAGACAGTTCCTGCGGCTCGTTTGGCTGGAACATTCTGTGATTTTATGATTGTAATGAGGAGCAATCGCTAAAAAGACAGTATTTGGTTCTAAAGCACAAGGTTCCTGGTCACTGCTGGTCTTCTCCCATGAAGAGTATCTATATCCAGGGATGAAACATTAACACAAGATGACGACCCATTCTGATGCTGGACCAAGATGATGACCCAATCTGATGCTTAAAATGTGTAACTACTGGTTCTGTCCAAGCTTGTTTGACTTGACGAAAGTAATGGAGATGTTTCTAGGACTCTCATTAAAAAAAAAAAAAAAAAATTGTAGGTGGTTAGGCTGTCTAGTCACCTCCTTTTTCTGGAAAGCAGTTCATTCACCTGTAACAAAAGACGGGGAAAAAGTTAGAAGCCAAGATTCTCATGATCTCTCCCAGCTCTGTGACTTCAAGGCAGGTTTTGTCAAGAGGGGCCTTGAGCTAAGTGTCAGGTCATGGGTCAACCTCAGGACCCGGTGCTGCTCTCCTTTGCGTGTGTTGGGGCCGTCTGTCTCCCTCGGAATAAGCGATTATATGAGCAACTTTTGGCAAGAATGAAATCCTAGCTCTGACTAAAGACGTGGACATTAAGAAATTCACTGAATGAGTTTGCATCTTAGTTTCCCCATCTGTAAAATAGGGATAGCTACTGGTAAAGTTGTAAAAATGTCAAGAGTTGAGCAGAAATGCTTAGTTTTTGCTGGGTTTTCAAGTGTGATTTCCCATAATCCTTAGAAGCACAACGGAAAGATAACCTGCAGTGTCACAAGCACAACGTATCTCTCTGACAACCAGGCACACTATGACTGGTGGTAACGAAGCCACGGTGCCGGCCACTTCCGGGACACCACTCTCACTTCCGGCACTCACTGCGCAGAGCCACGCCCTCACGCTGACGCAAGACAGCTCTGCACGTGACGCCAGTCCGCCCGGCGCAGACCCCGCCCCCGGCGCGCGCGCTCCCGGCGCGGCGTGACGCACCGCGGGCGAGGCCGGCGGGCGGTGTGGCTCCCGGGAGGGAGCGGCGTCTCCGGGAAGCCGGGAGCGCGTGCCCGCTGCCGCCTCTCGGTGGTGGCCGTGATGCGCTCCGCTCACGGCTCCCCGCCCCTGGGAGTCCCGGCCGCCGAGTCAGGCGCTGCAGCACGGGTGAGCGGCCTTCGCGGCGCGGACGGTGGGAGGGCGGCCGGCCGGGGTCGAGACAGTCGGACCGTGCGGTTCGGCGGGGCGACGAGGGCCCTGGACCCCGGACGACCCCTCTGCCCGCGGGCCTCCCGGCTCCTGCGGTCGGTCTTCCCTGGGTCCAAGCCGCCCCCGCCGCCCGGCCACATCCGGGCGCCCGGGCCGTCAGTGCCCGTGACCCAGGGCGGCAGGTGCTGTCCCCCGGCTCCTGGAGGAGAAGCCTGGCCGTCGCGCTGTCGCGCGGCTCCGGGGACCGCGCTGGGTCTTCCCTCTTCCACGTAGCGGGGCGGATCCGGGCCCACTGCGGGGGGACCCGGCCCTGGAGAAGGGACCCGGCCCGGGAGAAGGGCTGCTGCGCCGAAGACCCAGGGGTTCTCGCCGGCGCCTTGTCATTACACTTACAGTCACGTTCAGCATCGTTTTTGCTCTTATTAAATTTCATGCTTTAGCTCTCCCCCGGGAAAAAGATGGAACTCATTGCGCGATAAAGTCTTGATGCGAGCAATGCTTCTCAGACCTTAGTGATGCGTGGACACCTTTTAAAGGAACAGTTAGTTGTCTTATTCTCCAGGACCCGGTTAGATGCACACTGGTGCGGAGCGTTTCCAGGGAACCTTTATCACTGTCAGGAAAGACCTGCGTTACCCTTCGGCACCTTCCGCGCTAAAAGATAAACCGGAGCTTATTAAAGAATTCTAAGTTAGTGACGCAAGTCCCTAGTTTAATTTCACTTTGCAGTTTTGACTGTGCCCTTCCTCGTGTAATGATAACACCTAATTCTCCAGCCTGGAAGAGACGGAAAAGACTCCTATTCTTCGTGTTATATTTGATGTCATCTTGTCTTTGTATCACGTTTGTTAATTGCTCGACACATGAGCAGAGTTACAAAACGAAATACTAATTTATCTAAGTAGTTCGTTTATGTCTGTGTTGACCTTAACATTATTAATTTACCACCTGTGTTTGTTGCTTACTGAATGTATGGTCTACCGTTTTCTAGCCCTAATAGGAATGCATGGTCTCAATCCTTGTGTACATTAGAAACAAAAAGAAAGTTCATCCGGGGAGTTATATATTTATTTATATTATATGTGTGTTTCCTATATATTTATTCCAGCATGTTTTTTTAAAAAATGAACACAGTTTCAGAGTGTGGGAAAACAAGAGAAAGTGCAACAGTTTAAATCTTTGCAAAGAAAAATATTGACCTGAGCCTTGCAGGAAGTATAATGTTGACAGCAGGACGTAGTAGGAGGAAGTGACATTAAAGGGCCAGGGCAAGAATGAGAGACCCACCTCACTAGGGCAGAAAGATGTTATCTGTGGCCCAGGCGAGAACAGGTTGGTGGAATAAGATGGGATCCGTTGGTGGAAAGTTGCTGTTGACACCATGGGCTCCCGGAAGTTCTTGAGCTGGTTATGTTTTGAAGGTAGTGTTTTACAGGGAGCTATTTCTGAAGAGGGGCGTTCAGGGTGCAGGTAGAAGGTGAGCGACCTGCCTACAGACCTGTGATGTGTTCTGTGGTCGTTTGATGTGTGGATTTTTTGAGGAAGTATTGATAGCACACAGATAAGTGGGAATCAAAGTTAAGAACCAGGTGATACCCCTGGTCAGTGGTGATGCCTCTCTTAGACTTGGAGAACTTGGAAGGTGGTATTTATTTGTGTCAAAAGATTGTGACCACAGACTCAGACTAAACGAGTTTATGATAACAGCCATCGGTGAGCTCAGGATGTGGAATTGAAACGTGAGGAAAGTCAGACTTGCAGATTTGGGAAACGACAGAGGTGATTCAGAAAAAAGTGTGACCAGAAAAAGATCTCTTAACATGGGGACAACATTTTAAATTTAAAAATCAATGCTAAAGAAAATGTAGATGCTAATGCAACTCCATGCATTCTTCTTAAAACAAAGAGTGAATCAAGTTGTTTTGATGTATTTTCCCCACAATTGAGTGCACTGAATATCCTTCACTTCACCTTCCTTTCACTCTCACAAAAATTCTTCCTTGTAACCTCTAATATTCACATCATTCCTTTTTAAGCACCCTTCCTGTCATTTTCATTTTTCACCACAGGAACCATTTCACTTTACAATTCATGTATATGGTTTTCACTGTTGTTTTTGTTGTGGTTTTTTTTTTTTTTTTCAGTGAGAGAGATGGGTTTCTCTGATGATAGGTCTAATATAATTTAGGCCTTTTGAAAATGTGGCATTTTTATGTAATACTAGAGGCCTGGTGCACAAATTCGTGCACCAGTGGGGTCCCTTGGCCTAGCTTGTGGGATTGGGCCGAAACCGGCTCTCCGACATCATCCGTGGGGTCCCTGATTGTGAGAGGGCGCAGGCCAGGCCAAGGGACCCCACCCATGCATGATCAGGCCTAGAGAGGAACACGGGAGGTTGGCCAGCCGGGGAGGGACCACAGCAGGGCTCCAGGGTGTGTCCGGCCCGTCTCACTCAGTCCCGATCAGCCGGACCCCAGCAGCAAGCTAACCTACTGGCCTGAGCATCTGCCCCCCTGGTGGTCAGTGCACATCATAGTGACTGGTCAACCAGTCGACTGCCCCCTGGTGGTCAGTGCACGTCATACCTCCTGGTTGAGGGGCCTTAGCATATCATTAGCATATTACGTTTTGATTGATTCAGTGGCCGACTGGTTGACTGGACACTAGTATATTAGGCTTTTATTACATAGAGAATTAGTAAGACTTTGCCTCCCTAAACTTTGGTGCCAAGATTCTTAGCTGCAAAAACAATGGGAGTTTACATGTTAAGATCAACTTACCATATTGTTGATTGCTGGGTAATATTCAGCCATACTTTTGTCCTAAATAAAAGTAATTACATCAGCAACTTATAAACTGTCCTATTTTCTCTTTGTCTTTAAACACAAGTTTTGTAACATAGAAAAATACCTATTTATCCTTTTTTAAAAAAATCCTCACATCTCGAAAATAAGTCCTAAGACAAACACTAGATTAAATAACATTTACTAAATTTGCTATGATCATATTCTCCCCATCCAAAGTTGGCCTCTGACTCAGGAAGTGGTTCCTGTTTACCAGCTTTCCTTGTGGTCTTCTCTGAACTCTGTTAGTCCGAATAATTTAACTTTGCCTTCTGTTGTACTCTTAATTATTTCCTGGGTGCTAGTATTATCTCTGTAACTAGTCTGCAAACTCCTTGAAACTGGAGTAAGGTTTGTTATTCCTCAGTGCCCTTTATGGTACACATCATTGAATCATTCAAGGCCTTCCTTCCCCCAAGGACTTTAGGCTGTTAACTAAAGCATTCTTTTTTTTTTTTTTTTTCTTTAGTTCAACTATCACAAAAAAATGTTTAGATCAGAATTCCTGTGTCATGAAGAGTTTTTAAGCTAGGCTTTCTTGATCTACCCAGAAGAGGATTTCATGCTGGAAACGGAAGATATCAGTCAAAGGTAGCTTGTTTAAATAGTTCTGTTGTTTTTCCGATGATAAAATTAATATGTGCCCTTTTAAAAATGTAGTTAAGCTTAAGGAAAAAAATAAAGATGATCCATTTCTCACTACTCAGAATTAACTAACCACTGTTAACATTTTGGTTTCTCTCCTTCCATTTTGCCCTCTCTTATGCATGGTGTGTTTTTTTCACTGAAATACCATGGACATCTTTTCCATGACAATAAATATGGATCTGCACGATCACCTTTAATAGCCACATTGTATTCTGTTTCATAAATGGACCATGTTTAACTTAACCCACCCCCTGTAATACACATTAGTTTAGAAACAGTGTTTTGCTATTATGCACAATACTATGATGGGCACATAGTTTTACCCTGTTGTCTTCTAAGTATGAATTTCTGGATGTGTGATAGGTTGTGCAGAGGGTAAGCATATTAAAAATTTCCATATCTGTTAACCAGGATGCCCTCAGAAGGTTAGTACCTTTTTAGTTCTCCCCAGCAGCATTCATGATGTTTCTCACTCCCCTTTGTTAGTAAAGTATCCTTAGATGTTAATTTCTGTCAATCTGATAGTGGTAAAGTTTTGGTTTTTATTTATATTTATCTAAATACTAATGAAGTTATTTTTATCAACCATTTGTATTTCTTAGTTCATTAATTTCCAATTATCCTTGTTCACTTGTTCCTGTATTTCTCTTATGTATTTATGTTATGAACTTTTTATATGTAAGGGATATTTTACCTTTTGTCATGTATGGTATAAGTAATTTTCCCAAGCCTTATGTGTTTGGGAATGGATTTTTTATTTTTAAACATACAGAAGTCTTAAACTCATGTGTAGATGTATTTTCTTTCATTTATGGTTTGAGACATTGATATTGTAGAAAAGCCTTACCCATTCCAAGATTATGTAATCTTACATTTCAATGGATGTTTAAAATATTGAGATCTTTGAGCCACTGGAATTCTAATACAGTAGAGCCTTGACTTACGAGTGTCCCGACTAACGAGTTTTTCGAGATACGAGCCGTCCCTCGGCCAATTTTTTTGCTTTGAGTTGCGAGCTAAAATTCGGGTTACGAGCCAGCTTCAGATACCCCACCCCTAGTTGGCGCAGCGAATGTCACAGTGAACGCCACAACATCCGCCCAGCATTCAATTCATTGTAATGGTGAAAATTGATTTGACATAAGAGTAATTTGAGTTACGAGCTCCATCACGGAACGAATTAAACTCGTAAGTCAAGGCTCCACTGTAAAGGTATATTGTAGTAATTTCACTATAGTCAAATGCTAAAAGGTAGCTATTTTACAAAAACATTAAAATTCATTTAAATACTTAGGTAATTGACATATTTTTCCTTTTTTTGTGTAAAATTTTAAACCATTAATATTGTTTGTCCTAAGTTTTGGGTCTGTGGTACAATGTGGACACCTATTAAAACCTGAACTAATTAAAGAGATTTTTAACTTTGTCAGGTAGGCCTTACTAACACTGTGTATGGGGGGGGGGGGGGCGAGGGGTTCCCCCTCTCCTGCATTAGAAATTTAAGAACTGGATCCATGTCTGATTCATCTTTGCATCTCCCATTCCCAGCCATCCGTGACACAAACAATGGTTGTTCTTCACTTGTGTGACAGGCACTGGTCACTGGAGAAACAGAAGAATAAGTGGCTGTCCCTGCCAAGGGGCTTGCCCTGTAATGAGAAAGTCAGCCAGCTGCATGTCTAATACTGCAGCCCACTGCTGCGATGAGCACATACTCTGGGGATATGGGGATTGGGGAAGTCCTCACAGAGGAATCATGCTTGACTTGTGTCTCTAGGATTACATTGGGCCCCAAAAAGTCATTCTACAAATGCAGAGGAATGCAGGACATTTCAGTGACTTGAAGCTTGTGTTTAAGATGGCTGGAGCATAGGGTACATATCCGTCTATCTGTCAGGGATAAGACTAGAAAGATAGACAGGAACTAGATTAGTGCTAATGCAGAAGCTACACGCTCAGAATAAACCCTTCTTAACAGCTTCAGTGCACAGATCATGTACCAGATTATGTGTGGTGGGATTTAAACATACAGTTGATAATGAACATTGACGTTTCTTGGATTATGCTATCTTGGTGATTTTTCTTACTTCCTGAAACAGGAGAGTTCTCATTCTGGGAGGACCTCGTTGTTGCTGTAATAGTGGTTGAAGACTAACTCCCAGAACATTACCTGACCTCTGACCTGTCAGCATGGGCAGGTGAGTGATGGTGCCTAATCACTGCAGTGGAAGCCCGAGATTTTTGGTGCCACAGAAACAGATTTTGAGGGGGAGGAGGATATAAATCCTAAGTGAAAAGTATTCAAAGTTGTACTGCACTTCTGTTTTATACCGTTGTTCTTTCAGGGCCCCATGAGCACCTGTCACAGAAAGAAAGTGATAATGCCAGGAGGATTCTGCAGGAGTTAATGTAGTTTATCGTAAAGGGCATGTTGTGCTGGAATCTGTAACGGGTTGTGTTAAGCACAGGATAACTGTCTCTGAGCCTCGGAGGGGATGATAAACTCCATGGACTGGCCCAAGAACCCTCATGCAGGCTAGAAACTACAAATGGAAATTTCCATTGGGTTAGTAAGATACCTCACTCTTCTGTGAGTCCGTGAAGCACTCTTTAGAGGGGAGAGTGTAGAAATTAACTGGAAAACAATAAAATTTATCCTAAAGTTAGCAAGTTGTTTTTTTTTTAAGCCTAATGAAGCCTTTCATTCCTGACATAAACTGAGAAGTGTTTATTTGCAGAAATGTTTCAGTAATATTTCCAAAAACACAGGACACATAGGTCATTTATTGACTTTGTTATGGGGATGTTTTTAAAGATACCATTTTCTCACTTAATCTTCAGGGAGAGATTTGCCTTGGAATTCAGTGTTAGGAAAATTTACTCCTTTTAAGATATTTATGTTTTCGTAATCTAATCGGCAACATTATTGGCCATGAGGATGCTCAGCCACTGTTTAAGACACTACCTTATTACATGCATTCCTATGTACTAAATTGTCTTTTGGTTTCATCATCCTTAAACCTGATTGTGTTTTAGATTTATTTGTTTATGTTATTGAACTTATTCTTGTAAGCTGTCTCTAATTTTTTGGAACAAAACAGGGTACAGATAATCTGCATAATTCTCTCAAGAAAGGGGGGAAAACACAGAAGTGTCATAAGCATCAATATTAATTCTCATTCATATAATTTTATAATACGAGCCGCTTAGTGACAAGGATACTATCTGAGAAATGCATTGTTAGGCAGTTTCATCATTGTGCCATCACAGAGCGCACTTAGACAAGCCTACATGGTGTGTCCTACTCTATCCCTATCCTGTTGCTCCTAGACTACAAGCTGTATGTCACTGTACAAAACAACACAAGATTAAATCAAGCACAAGATAAGATGATGCATTCAAGAGATGCGGTAATAAGCAGGAGATATATAACGCTGCTGTGTGCATAACATGAGTTACTGTTTTACAGCAAACTTTTTTTATAAGTAGGAAGTACTCTAAAGTAACAATAAAAATATAGTATGTAAATACATAAACCAGTAACGGTCATTTCTTATCAAGTATTATGTACTGTGCACAAATGCATGTGCTTCACTTTTATACGATTGGCAGCACAGTAGGTTTGTTCACACCAGCATCACCACAAACATGAGTAATGAGTTATTGCCCTGTGTCGTCATTAGGTGATGGGAATCTTTCAGCTTCGTTATCATCTTATGGGACCACTGTCATGTAGGCAGCCCGTCATTGACTGGAACATCTTTATGCAGCACGTGACCGTAATGAGTTATGTAGCAAAGTAGTAATATGGAAGGTGCTGGTATACAGATGCCTATCAGCAGGGAAGTCAGGGCAGCTCAAACTGAATGTCTTGTTTTGGATCAGTTTAGGTGAAGGGAGTTCTCTTTGGAGCAGATTGCTTTAAAATCTGTTTTGTTTTGTTTTTTTTTTTGGAATTTCAGACTTGGCATCTCCTGTCTTTTTCCTGCTTCCTGGCATTTTAGCATCTCTCCAGTGGGATGTCCTCGAATTTTGAATACCAATTTACGCCAAATTGTTGTTATTAGTATTCTGGCTGCTGCTGTTTCACTTTTATACTTCTCTGTTGTCATAATCCGAAATAAATATGGGCGACTATCCAGAGACAAAAAGTTTCAAAGGTAAGAGAATACAAACCATTTATTTTCTAGATGGGATGCCATACCTTCATTTCATGGCTTCAAGACTTTGGGATTAGGTGGCATTTAAGGAGCCTGTAGCTGTAGGAAACAGATGCTGCACTGAATACAGCATGGCATGAAAAATTAACCTGTCTGAAACTGTTTAATCATTAACCACCAGATCCTCCTCATAAGAGGATTTAACATAAGCTTCTGTGATATCTTTTAAGCTGATTTTTCAGTTAATATTAATAGTTGAGAAGTAATTTTACTTTTCAGAACTTGTTTGAACTTCTTTAAAGGAATAATGAGTGTATCTGATTTAGATTATCTTTTTCACTGTCACTTGTTTTGTTTTCCTTTGACTGATCATTTGGCAGTTGTAAAATGTTATATTGGTGTCACTGCACTTAGAAATCACCGACTTGGTGTTAGTTTATTGCACTTGCTCCTTTAGGTTTAGAATGATATTCTCTGTCTCAAAAGTATATGTTTGTTGTTCTAAACTAGGTACTTGGCACGAGTTACTGACATTGAAGCTACGGATACCAATAACCCCAATGTGAACTATGGTATCGTGGTGGACTGTGGTAGCAGTGGGTCTCGAATATTTGTCTATTGCTGGCCCAGGCATAATGGCAATCCTCATGACCTGTTGGATATCAGACAAATGAGGGATAAAAACCGAAAGCCAGTGGTTATGAAAATAAAACCAGGTATGTAAGTGATAAATATCTGACTGATATCCAGATTCTGTCCTTTCATTCTCTGTGATGTTTCACATTTTTCCTTTTCTCTCATAGCAGGACCCAGTTCTCCTGGTTTTACTTTTTTCACTTCCTTTATTTTTTTCTATCCTTCTTGCATAAGGCAACTAACACCTTAATAAAATATCCACACTCCATGTCTTTCTTACATCTTCTGCAGCATTTACCTTATTCATGGTGTCTACTCAAATGTTTGCAAATTGACATTAATTATGGAAGGATTTTTTTTCCCCCCTATTCGGTAGCCATTGGTCTCGCTCCTTAATGACAAGGCAATTTCAGATAACTCATAAAAATATGTACTCAAAATAATACATTAGTATATGTTTGTCATTTTAAAAATTGCTGCCCCAGTGTATTTTCTAATTATCTAGATTATTTAATAAAGATGACCATAAAACTTAGAAGAGCTGGATTTCATTATGTCCAGCTTTTGTTTTTGTTTTTGTTTTTGTTTTTATAATTCCTCACCCAAGGATAATTTTTCCATTATTTGTGTGTGTTTTTTAAGAGAAGGGAGTGGGGAGGGAGGGAAACACTGAGAGACATCAATTGGTTGCCTCCTGCACACACCCCAACCAAGGCCAGGAATCAAACCTGTAACCCAGGTACATGCCCTTGCCCAGCAATCAAACTCGAGAGAGACCCTTCAGTTCATGGGCCAACGCTCTAACCACTGAGGATACTGGTCAGGAATATGTCCAGTTTTTAAAGATATACAATTTCTAAGTCAGTGAGTTATAGAAAAATTGAGATGTGCCTTCCCTATCAGATAATTTACATAAGTAATTCTCACCCTTTTTTTTGTTGTTGTTATCTACATAATTTGTACAGGCAGCACACTTCTTCAATAACATTAGGAATGGAAGGTGTCAGGACCTTGAAATAGGCATTTTATGTCTTGATAGTTGATAATCACTGATTTAAAACAGTGAACCAAAGGCACTAGAGATTCACGATTTAATTTCATCTTGCCAATTATGTTAGATCGTAAAATATTAAACCCAAACAACCCAAGGAATTTATTTTTAAAATATATTGAATGTTGATAAAAAAAAAAAATAATTATCATAATCATCTCCTATTTCAAAAACAAGTGAAAAGGAGCTTCAGTTTTGTTTTTAACTTTTTATTTATTGATTTGAGAGAGAGAGAGAGAGGGAGAGAAACAGACAGACATTGGTTTATTGTTCTACTTACTAGTATTTATGCATTCATTGGTTGCTTCTTATATGTATCCTGATCAGGGATTGGACCTGCAACCTTGGTGTACCGGGATGCGGTTCTAACCAGCTGAGCTACCTGGCCAGGGAGGGACCTCCAATTGTAACATAAAAGAATGCCTGTCCTCATAAAATGGTAATTACATAGACTGTAGACCCCTTGGGTCTTACTCATTCTCCATTGAATAATTCAGGCCCCACTTCCTTCTGTAGGCAACCCTCAACAAGTTATTGTCCCTTGATGTTTGGGCATCGGCACCAGCATAGTGCTCAGAAAACTCAAAATCTCTACTTCATTTTTCAAGATAAAGAGAGGGAACTTAATTTGAGTTCTTGTTGCAAGCATTATTTTGAATCAGAGTACATTTTTTTGTTAACAAAGATCATTTTTTCTCTAAGTCTTTGTGGATGACTTTTAATTTTTACTTTTCTATTTTTCTACCCCTGAAATTTTTGTGTATTCCTAATCTAGAAACATTTTCAGAGTTAAAGTAATATTGATCAAGTGAAAAATTCAGCAGGATTTTAAAAACAAACTATATAGCACTTGTTATAGCTTGAAGTAGACCATCAAGAACCTTTTTATAGCTCTTCTGTATCTGGAAGCATGGTCTCTCATTTACAGCATTACAGCAACACTTATCTGTCTGGGTCCACAAATTCCTAGTCTGTGAAGTAAGGAATTTTTGGACTTCTAAAATTCCCCTCATCTTTAGTATTGTAGGCTCAGTGACAGGAATATTCACTACTTATGTATTCATTCAGCAAATATTTGCTGAGCACCTACTATTTTCTAGACACTGTGTTAGTGCTAAGAATATAAATTTGAACAAGGCACAGTTTGTGCCCTTGAGAAACTTCCAGTTGAAATGAGACAAGCAAGTTAATAGGTAGGTAATTTTGATAAGGTAATGAATGCTTCGACTAGAGGCAAAGAGAGCTCATCTTCAGGGATCTGCTGGTGAAGACTTCCATAGAGGCAGTAGCTCTGGATGAGGAGGAGTTAGCCAGATGAAAAGAAGTGGGAAGTGGGTAGGGAGGCAAAGAGAGGGCTATTCCTGGTGGGGGTACAGTGGCCATAAAGCAGAGTATGATGTAGAAATTTTATTCAAAATAGTTGAAGCCAAATGGAAGGAATGTGGGGAGAGAAAGGATGGGTGAGGATGCAGAGCAGGTTATGATGCCATTCTAGAATTGAGCTTTATCTGGAGGGCATTGAGGAGCCCAAAGGATTTTAAGCCAGAAAGAGACCCCTTTTGCATAGGGAATGGTCGGGGAATTTCAAGACTGGGCAGTAGGATGTGTAGGCTGGCAGAGGGTGGGGGTATTCAGAAAAGATGAAGAGAAGTGAAAAAATGTGAGAGGAACCAAGGAGAGGCAATGGATGAAACCCACAATACATGTTGGGATGAGGGAGAGATATTTTATTTAGGATATCAGCTTGGGCCACTGGATGGCTAGTGATAGTGGTCACTGAGGCGGGGAACAGGCAGTAAGAGCCCGTTTATTGTTGAGTCCAGATTTGAGTTGTGAGCGGGTGGTGAGCCTTGTTCACTGGGCAGTAACCACACACTGATCTGCAGATTGGAGAAGAGATCTGACAGGAGAAATCTGATGGTGACGCCAACCGTGAGAGTGAGGGAAGTGGGCGCTCTTCCCAAGGGCAGCGATGAGCTCCTGTGCAATCAGCTCCGAGTGTTTGACACATATGATGCTCAGTCAGGTCTGAGATTTTTGATGAGCAAGAATAAGAGGATGTGGGACTGAACGTTTGGTACCATCATTTGAGGAAGAGAAGCTGAAAGGTGTTGCCAGAGGGATAGGAAAAAACAAGGAAAGTATGGTGTATAGCTTGAATTTCTCTCAAATTAGCCTCATTGTAGAAGTATAACTTACTAGCTGAAATATCTGCTTGTTAACAGAGGTGTCCTTTTTCTGTAGGCATTTCAGAATTTGCTACCTCTCCAGAGAAAGTCAGTGATTATATTTCTCCGCTCCTCAACTTTGCTGCAGAGCATGTGCCACGGGCAAAACACAAAGAAACCCCTCTCTACATTCTTTGCACAGCTGGCATGAGGGTCCTTCCTGAAAGGTGAGAGCAGTCCAGGCCTGTGGTGGTGGTGGTGGTGGTGATGATGGTATATTTTCCTCCTCATTTCCCTCCTGTTGCTTTTCCTCTTCCTTTTCCTCCTCTTCCATCATCATCACCAAAAGGAAGACATTTAAATTTCTTTTTTGAAATATAGAATAGTGGCAGAACTATTTCCTAGCTAGAACTCACTGTCTTTTAATATATTTGTTTATGACTGTAAATAGTAAACTATAAAGTTGTCATTTAAAAAATTGATTTTCTATATTATTAGTTTAAGGATTTGTAGTTTTATATTTAAGAATCACATAATATACACATGTGAAAATTCATTCATTGTTCCACTTGAAAATTCATTCCTAAAATAAACAATCTTTTCAATGAATTGCTTTGGTTTTAAACTATATAGGATATACCAGAGCAATAGTGTGTGTATGGGGGCGGGGGTGCCCTTTTTAAAAACAAAAATTCAGTATGTCATGTTTTGATATGTACAATTTTGGATTGTCTTACAGCCAGCAGAAAGCCATCTTGGAAGACCTTCTGACTGATATCCCTGTGCATTTTGACTTTCTGTTTTCTGACTCTCATGCAGAAGTAATTTCAGGGAAACAGGAAGGTTGGTATATTGGTCTTCACTTTGAAATTTAGGAAACTTGCTTTAAACCCTCCATTTCCCACTGTGTATACTTTATTAAATTACTCGTAATATCTTAAAATTTGAAAAACCATAGCTTTGAAATATTATAATTTTTAAATGTTTAAATTAGTTTCTTACATAGCTGACCTTTATTATCCAAACATTAAGCCATTGCAAAAATAATTTATCTTCACCACATGTAGGAAATGAATTTTAAACTCCTTTTGATAGAAAAGTTTTGTGCTCCTTGCCTAAGATATACAGCTTTCTGGAATTACGATAATTACCGAGCTATTGGAGCCTTTTATTGATTTTCTCTCTAGGAAGGGAAAATTATTCTTGACTTTGATACACTGAGAAAATATTAGTTCTGTTTTCAAAGAAATGATTTCTTTGTAAATTAAATGACAAGTCAGTGACATTATTTGATTAATAGCTTGTTAGAAATGGAAATAAAAAACATTTATTTCAAAGTCATCTATCATTTTAGCAAATGCCTCCTCTATGAAAGACACTGTAGAGAATACAAAATTGGGTGAAATATGGACATTGCCATTGTTATGTTTACAAGCAAGAGAGGTACACAGTTAACTGCTATATGAGTTACAGTTTTAGATACCTTAAGGAAGGTAAGGAAAAAAGATCATGGGAATTTGAAAGAGGAAGACTTTTTATTTCTAGTTAAAGGCATCATGGAGAAAATGGCATTTGGACTAATGAGGTAGTTATAGCATGCCAGAGCATGGCATAGGTAGGGCTCTGAGAGGGCACATTCCAGGCAGAAGAAATTGTTTGAGTCAACACAGGTCGAAAAAGCTGCACTATAGACGGAGGAACAAAAATATGTTAGTTTGACTGCATTATGGCCCTTTTGAAGGTGTTAATAATAGAAAAAGTTGGACAGGTCTTGGTGACATCATCACCATGGCAGCGTGAATCATTCCTTCTTTCTCTCCCCTTTGATTTATAATTAGACATTTAAAACAACACAAACACACACACACACACACACACACACACACACACACACACACACAGCACCTCTGCATAGCACATGAGGGCACCTGAAAGATCTATTCATCTGTCTACCAGAAAGTGGGTGGATTGAATCCTAGAGGAGGCTGTGGAGCCAGGAGAGTAGTGGCAGGGGGTGTGCGGCAGGCCAGGACAACCTTTCTGGTAGAGGAGGTGGAGGATGAAGATGGTGAGTGAGGGTCTATCTGGCTGCGTGTGCTGCAGCTGGAGGAACCTGTTGTCTCTGAGAAGACATCACAATGACTGGGGGAAGGGAAAAGGCAAAGAGAACACCCATGGATATCTGGGACACCCCTCACTCGAGGATACCCCTCTCTGTTCTGTGGACACACCCAAAACATCAAGTGCTAAGCACACACTTCCCCTAACTCAGTGGCCACTCTTCTCCCTCAATCCCCCTCCATCAACTTTTTTTTTTATGAGCATGCTGCCAACCTATCGAGCTCGGGTAAGAGAAACCAAAAACTTGTGCTATAGTGCCACCTTCTGGAAAAATAAAAGAAAGTACTCTACTTAGGAACTTGTTGAATTGTTAGAATCAAAATAAACCAAGCTTTACCTAGATAAGAAAGGTATTCACTACTTGAAATGCTCAGCAGGGGCACTTTCATCAAACACCATAATCACTGTAATATAATATCACAAAAAGAAAATGATAATTTTCTAGTAACTGAACACAAAGACATTGACTATTGTGATCTAATTGATAAAGAATTCAAAAAAGCTGTTATGAAGAAATTCAGCAAGCTACAGGAATACTCAGGCAATGAAATGAAATCAGGAATAAAATTAATGAACAGGAGTACTTTACAAAAGAGACTGAAATTCTAAAAAAAGAAATTCTGGAGCTGAAGAACTCAGTAAATGAGATAAAGTATTGGGGGGAAAAGCATATCAGATGGAAGAGAGAATAAACGGGTCAATACATCAAGAAGCTATGACATAAATATACAGGGTGTCCACCAAAAATGTATGCACACTTCAACAGCCAATAGCTCAGTTTTGAAAATGAAATGTATTTTAATAAACACTGCCTTTATAGTTATTCAAAATGTGTGTATATATTTTTTGGGACATCCTATTTATGCTCCCAATGCCTGAGCACCAAAATATATTAAGCAAATATTAGCAGATCTTAAGGAAAAAATAGGTAATAATACAATAATACAGTGGACTTCAATACCACACTATCAGCAATCACAGACTGTTCTGACAGAAAATCAAGAAAATGTTGGAATTGAACCACAAGTTAGAACCAATTTACCTAACAGACATCTACAGAACAATCCAGGCAACAACAACTGACTACATATTCTTTTCAAGTGCACATGGAACATTCTCTAGAATAGATTATCTGAATTTTAGCAAATTTTAAGAAGATTGAAGCCATACCAACTATCTTTTCTGACCACAGTGGTATAAAGTTAAAAGTCAACAAGAGGAAAGTGAGAAAAATCTACAAATACATGGAAATGAAACAACATTCCAAACAATAATGGATCAAAGAAATCAAAAGGGAAATAACTGTCTTGAAACAAAAATGGGAATACAACATAACAGATATCCTGGGATATAGCAAAAACAGTTCTGAAGGGAAAGTTTATAGCAATAAACACATATATTAAGAAATTTGAAAGACCTCAAATAAACAACCTAACTTTACACTTTAAGGAACTAGAAAAATCAAGCCCAAAGTTAGTAGAATGAAGGAAATAAGATGAGAGCAGAAATAAATGAAATAGGCACCAGAGAATAAAAAAGTTAACAAAACTGGTACTACAGAAATGCATAGAATCAAAAGAAACTATTATGAACAATTACATACCAACAAATGATATGCTAGAAGAAATGGATATACTTCTGGAAACATAACCTACCAAAACTGAATCAGTATGAAATAAACAATATGAACAACCAATAACGAGTAAAGAGATTGAATCAGTAATCAACTCCCAACACAGAAAACCCCAGGGTCAAATGGCTGAGAATTCTACCAAACATTTAAAGAACACCAACCCTCATCAAACTACTCCCAAAATATCAAGGACAAGAGAACACTCCAAAGCTCACTCTATGAAGCATTACCTTGACAAAACCAGATAAGGATACAAGAAAAGAAAACTAGACCAATATCCTGATGAATATAGATGCAAAAATTCTCAACAAAATATTAGCAAACCAGTATCAAGAGCACATTATGCCCCATGACCAACTGGGATTTATTCCCGAGACAACAAGGATTCAACATATGCAAATCAGTAAGTACTTAATACTTTAATAAAATGGAAGATGAAAATAGCATGATTATCTCAGTAGACACAGGAAAAGCATTTGGTAAATTACAGCATTTGTTTATGGAAAACCCTTAATAGATTGGGTGTACCTCAACATAATAAAGGCCATATATGACAAACCCATAGCTGGCATTATAGTCAATGGGGAAAAGTTAATGTATTTCCTCAAGAACAAGGTAAGGTTGCCCGCTCTTATCACTCTTATACAATACTAGAGGCCCGATGGACAAAATTTGTGCAAGGGGCTCAACCCTTGCAGCTGAGGCAGCTGCCCTTGTCCAGAAGGTCGTCCAGGTCATATAGCTGTCTGATCTAATTAGCATATTAGCATATTTTATTATTATAGATAGTACTGGAAGCCTAGCTAGAGCAATTAGGTAAGACAAAGAAATAAAAAGCATCCAAATTATAAAGGAAAAGGTATAATTGTCACTATTTGCTGATGATATATATAGAAAATTCCAGAGAATCATTCAAGAAATTGACTAGTCATTGAGTCAACATTTTCTGTAAAGTGGCAAGATACACAATACATAGAAATCAGTTGTATTCCTTTAATGATGAAGCATCTGAAAAAGAAATAATAGCATCAAAAGCAAAAATACTCAGGAATAAATTTAACCAAGAAAGTGAAAGACCTGTACAATGAAAACTATAAGACTTTGCTGAAAGAAATCAAAAAAGACAAACAAATGGAAAGACAGTATGTGTTTGTTCGTGGATCAGAATAATTAATATTTTTAAAATGTCCGTACTACCCTGAGCCATCTACAAATTCAACATAGTCCCCATGAAAATACCAAAGGCATTATTCTTCACAGAAATAGGACAATTCTTAAATGTGTATGGAACTATAAAAGACCCTGAATAGCCAAAGCAATCCTGAGAATAAAAGAACAGAGCTGGAGGTATTACACTTCTGTATTTCAAACTACTACAAAGCCATAGTAATAAAAACAATATGGTACAGTCACAATAGACACATCAACCAGGGAAACAGCCCAAAAGTAATTCCCTGCTTTAGACAGTCAGCTAATAGGGAAATGACACCCAGTGCAGGGAGGATAGTCTCTTTAACAAGTGGTGCTGGGAAAACTGGAGAAACACATGCAGAAAAGTGAAGTTGTACCCCTGTCTATACCACTCACAAAATTTAACTCAAACTGGATCAAAGACTTAAATGTAAGACCTAATACCATAAAATGTCTAGAGGAAAACTTAGGGAAGAAGCTCATCAATATTCATGATGGCAATGATTTTTTGGACATGACACTAAAAGCGCAAACATAAAAAGAAAAAATCAACAAATGGGACTACATCAAACTCAAAAGTTTCTTCACAGCAAAAGAAACAATTAGAATGAAAACCCACAGAATGGAAATAAATTTTTGCAAGTAGTATATTAGATAAAGGTTAATATCCAGAATATACAATGAACTCATACAACTTAACAGCAACAAAAAAAACACAATACAGTTGAAAAATGGTCAGAAGAGTGAAACACATTTTCAAAGATGACATCAAAGTGGCCAACAGGAGCTTAAAAAGATGCTCAATGTTATTAGTCATCAGGGAAATGCAAATTACAAGCACAATGAAAATGGTGATGGAAAAAATAAAATAAAAATTTTAAAAACCCACAATGAGATATCACCTCACACCCATTGTGGAATGGCTGTCAGTAAGATGAGAGAACAAGTCCTAGTGAGGATGTGTTGAAAAGGAAACCCTTATACTGTACATTGTTAGTGGGAATGTAAATTGTTCTAATCACTATGGAAAACAATATGGAGGTTTCTCAAAAAATTAACAATGGGTCTACCGTACAATCCAGCAATTCCACTTATAGATACTTTATTCCCAAAAGAAATGAAAAAGGACTTTGACAAGATATATGCACTCTTATGTTTATCACAGCATTGTTCATGATAGCCAAGATACAGAAACACCCCAAATGCCCATCAACAATCAATGGATAAAAAATATTCTGCCATGAGAAGGATATCCTGTCATTTGCAACAACATGGACCTTGAGCACATTATGTCAGGCTAGATAAGTCAGACATGGGAAGACAAGTGCTGTATAATATTACTTATTTTTGGAATCTGAAAAAGTCAAACCTGTAAAAGAGCAAAATGGTTGTTGCCAGAGGATGGGGGTTGAGGGTAAGATTGTTGGTGTTTAGTAAATGAGCCATAGAGACCTAATGCACAGTACAGTTGATCCTTTAACATTGAGGGTTTGAATTGCGCAGGTCAACTTAATACCAGGTTTAAATTCAACTGCATAATGAAGATAATAAAATTATACTATGATTATGCAATATAATTTCACTCTTAGGGCAATATATTACAGTATATAAATGTATCAAAGTAATACACTGTACATCATGCTTACAGAATGTTACATGTCCAATTTATTCAATTAAAAATATTGGACAGGTCTTGAAGTGTCCAGCTGTGAAATGTGGACTTTGTTCTGTAGATCAGTTCAGTAGCAGAGAATAGCCACAGTGGGTTGGAGAGGAAGAGTAGGGGAAGGAAGATTGGATCTCTCTAACAGCTTAAGATGGTAATGAAAATGGGTAAAGATATTGGATATAGGAAATGGTGTAAGAAGAGAATCAGGTGTTGCAAATGAGTGAAAGTAAGGGATAAAGGAAACAGAAAAGTCAAAGTTAACTTGTTTGTAAACCTTGCAACTGATAGGTTTAACTTCATAAAAATAAAAACTCCAGTATTTGAAAACAACCTATAAATTTCTAAGGAAACTTAGCCTCTAGGGCAGTGGTTCTCAACCTGTGGGTCGCGACCCCTTTGGCAGTCGAATGACCCTTTCACAGGGGTCGCCTAAGACCATCCTGCATATCAGATATTTACATTACAATTCATAACAGTAGCAACATTACAGTTATGAAGTAGCAACGAAAATAATTTTATGGTTGGGTCACAACATGAGGAACTGTATTTAAAGGGCCAGAAGGTTGAGAACCACTGCTCTAGGGAGTTACATTTTCAACCTATGTAAATGATATGAAACTATAAATTTTAAACTAGGGATTTCTTGTAAAGCCACTAGGAAAAGATAAAATACATAGTAGAAATGTGTTATTTCAGATGATGTTTTCACAGGTTGTCAGGAAGTAAAATAAATGAGATGTTTGCACAGACAGCATTGATCAGAGTTATACAAAGTATTTAAAAACTATTCTTATCTTTACCCTGTGCAATGTCTACAGGTGTGTATGCTTGGATCGGCATTAATTTTGTCCTTGGACGATTTGAGCATATTGAAGATGGTAAGTATCATGTTTCCAACTAATGTGTGTGACTGGAAATTGTGGCTTTTTCTATGTAGTGAAAGGACAAAAAGGAGCTAAGTTTTGTGACACAGTTAAGTGTGTGTAGGTGGAATGAGAGGAGTTGCTGTTTCGCACAGCTTGATTTTAGTTGGGAAGAGGAGGCTGGGTTTGCCTAGAAATGTTTGAAACATGCCGTGAAAACAGGTGCCTCTGTGAAGATCCCAGTTCTCTGCACCTGTTCTGTTCCCATGGGTGTTTCTCATGCTTCCAGATGATGAGGCAGTCGTGGAGGTTAACATTCCTGGAAGTGAGAGCAGTGAAGCCATTCTCCGGAAAAGAACTGCCGGTATTCTCGACATGGGAGGCGTGTCAACTCAGATAGCGTACGAAGTCCCCAAAACTGTAAGCTTTGCCTCCTCACAGCAGGTTATTATCTGTACAAATTTCCTTCTTTTTGATTTGGTTTCATTTAACATGTCTCCATCCATTTTTGTTTTGTTTTCTGAGTCTGAACACGCCTTTACTGTGCTTGCTGAGGTACCTCTGCTCAACCCAGGAGAAAGGAGACAGGAGGAAGCCAAGGCAAACCTCCCCTAAGCCGTTTGTGTTTGGTCATTGAAGTCAGCTGGTTTGTTTTCTGAACTTACATGGAGTTTTTCTTTGATATACATGCCAATCACATGCTTGAATTTTGTATATTATTTTCAGTTCTTTTCTCATCAGGGATTAGAAAAACTTAAAATAGCATCAGATTTCTTGATATAATTAGGGAAAATACTTTTTTTTAAACGGTGCAGATAGCTTTCGACTTTTCCAGAAAGGATTGAGGTTTGTATTCACTGCTTCTATGTTCCTAAACTTCGGTTTACTGTCTTTTCTCCATCCCTTCAGTGCTCTGTCACTGCAGTTTTCCAAGGGCTGGTGGCCTTGTGTGGAGAGCAGCAGAAGGGTTTCCAGATACATTTCTGAGTTGCTACATGTCTTTATCACCCTGTTTCCATTCTGCTGTAAATTAATAACAAAGCCGGGTCCCCTCCACTTTGACCCAGCGTAGTGTCAGTTAAAAAAGACTGGTGCTGGACAAGAAGCCAAGCCTGCATCGTCATCCTGTCCTCACTAGTTGTGTGACCTTATGCAAGTAACTTAACTTCTCTGAGTTGGTTTCCATCTATGAATATGAATGCAAGTGCCTCTAACACAGAGTTATCATCAGGTTTAAATGACATAGTGCATATATCTAACACATTGGTGGGCACCTGGTGTTCGCCCAATAAATGATATATTTATTAAACTCCTTAGAAGAGTGCTTTGTAAATTTAAGTATTACAATCAGTGTTTCCTACTTCCTATCTAGACATGCTTCTGGAAACTTACACTCAATAAAAAGTCATGTCATTCCCTTCAGAATAAAGTAAAAAAATATATAAAGCAAGCTTGGAAAAATACAAATCAGTATTAAAAATGTCCTATGGATGAATCATATGAAGAAATTCTTATCATTTTGGCTTTGCTTTTCATTCTTTTTTTCCCTATTTATAGTTTTTGAAGATATGGTTATAATCTTACTGTTTATGCAGTTTTGTGCCCTTTTTTTAATAGCACATAAGTATCTTCCTCCATGAACTTGATTAGCATAAATTATAAACCCTCCTAGGAGTCGTACATTGAGATGACATCCAGCTTTTTCTGTCCCAGAATTGCAAAGGACATTTGTGTACAGAGACTTTTCAATGTTTAGGATTACTTCCAAAGCATAGGATTCCTTAAATTTACTACGTTAGCAGAAATGAACTATATTACTAACTTTTTCAAAAAGTTGTAATAATTCCACAAATGGGCATTGCATCTGAAATCTCTTAAGTCAGAATTATCATATTGAATTAGGAGGGATGCTTAAAAGGAAATACAGAAACAGAAATTTTTGCTCCATTTAAATGAGAATTTTTTAGATCCTTCTTTTTAAAGAAGGTGATTGTTTTTGTATTGCTTAAAATATTAACATTTGTTATCTTTACATCGTCAGGAAGAAGTAGCTAAGAACTTGCTGGCTGAATTTAACCTGGGATGTGATGTTCACCAGACTGAGCATGTGTACCGAGTCTATGTGGCCACATTTCTTGGGTTTGGTGGCAATGCTGCTCGACAGAGATATGAAGACAAGATATTTGCCAGCACGTTCCAAAAGAACAGGTAAAGCAAGCACCTTTCATTGCTCAGCAGGCATGTTCAAATCCAGGTCTCTCCTCCTAGAAAACATGAGGCAAAGCAGGGAGACCTCCGTCAGCAGAAGCCTGTCAGCTGAGTGAGAGAGGAAGTGAAAGGATACCAGGGTCCTGCCTTCAGCCTGACATCCCACCAGGCTCCAAAGGAGGCTGGCTGTCCCTCAGACCCACTCCCCTGATGGAGGAGAATTTCACTCTTAGCATATTAGTAGTTTTGAGCCCTGGGTAATGCATTCTAGATTGCAGGCCCTTGGGAAACTCAACACCAGCCCCACTGCAGATGTCCTGGAGCCTGCAGGAAGTGTGATAGAGTTGTCACTAGTGATAAAATTGAATTATGTGATGTTCTGGAAAACCAGCCTGTGCAGTTATTTAGTGGATAAGACTATAGTGAAGGAGGTTATGCAAAAGAAAGAAATGATCTAGAAGTCAAAGTTAGTGGTTTTAAACACATCAGTGAAACTTTTTAAAACGAGTTTTTGAAGAAAAATTCTGGTATAGAAAATATGTAAAACAAATAAAAGCAACACTCTATCAGTTTAAATTTATTTTAAAAGTTTAACTATATAACAATTATTTATTTGAAATTAATCCATAGAACAGAAAAGCCGTTTGGATGGATAAAAATATCTGAAATGGGGAGTCAAGTAAAATATCCTATTAATTACTATTTTGTTTTCTTCATTTTGATGAAACAATTTTGAGGGGGAAATTCTTATTCATAGAGATAAATGATAGTGTATTTCCTTGATCAGTTTAATCTTAAACCTGTGGAGGCCCGAACTTTAAGGAAGACCAAGAAGTCAGAGCCATTTGATACCACATTTTTCAGAAATTCACATTTGTGACTAGAAAAGGACAAGAAAACTTGTTCTTTGCTCCAGATGTTAATTGAATAGTGTTGTTAAGAGATTGGTAGTCCCGTGATTTCTTTTTTAAGGTAGTATTCTATATAGCACATCTTAGTATAATTATTTTTTACAAATGTCATAAAATAGAAATCATAAGTGATATTTGAATCAGAATTTTGGAAAAATGCCTTCTTCTGCAACCCTAATGTTTACTATTGATTTAATGTCAACAAACTTGTATAATGGACAATTGAGTGGTACTTCTTAATTTAGATGAAGCTTAATTTAGATGAAGGGCAAACAACTAAAACAGTAGCATGAAGTATACATTTGACTAGTCTTGGACTTTTACAATAATTATAAATGGTAGAAACACTTTTTATATATGCTATGAATTTGAGCCTTGAAATGTATATTTATCTCCTTGCCATTAGTAGTGATGATTGATTTTTTAATTAAACATTTTTAAGATGTAGCAAAATTCACTTTATTACATTCAAGTGCATTTTGAGTTCTCCTCATCTTGGGAATAAACAACTTGTCAGATGAGTGGTTAGTCACTTGACTACTGTCAGTGACTGAATATTGAATCAGGCACTCTGCTAGTAGCTAAAACCCTGTAGGTCCCTGTAATTTCATGGTATCAGACACTAACATAACTCCAGTGTTGAAAGCTTGTCCTTGTCTCTCAGATGCCTAACAGTGATTACACATAGCAGGAGGATGCCTGGGAATTTCACTGGCAAGTTAGTAAGCACAGTGGAGTTCGGTGAGCAAAGTTAAGATTTTTCTGTGGAGCTTCTCAGAGCCTATAATACAATAGAAATGCTGTTATATGCAACAGTTTAGGTCAGTAGTTGATTAATTTTTTAAAAATCAGTTAAAACAGAATTATAAAAATAGAATCAAATCTCAAGCATTTTGTTTTAGCGTACGTGTTTATTTGCCAATCTTTTGCTCTGGACTGAAGTGTTGTTTTAAGGCAACGTCCGTCATTTCTCAGGTGTACACTACCCTCAGCTCGATATCATTTTAACTTTCTTTAAAGAATACCAGGAACTTAAAGACATTTTTGAAGAATTTGATACCAAATTTGTCTAGATTTTTACTCCTTTTTCTAAATTATTCTTAAGTCTTGCTAACACCTAATTTGACAGCAGTTTTCTGGCAACTTGCCTTTATCATATTTTTCTAAGACATATAACCTAGGTTTTTTGTTTCTTTATATATATATATTATTAATTTTTTACAGAGAGGAAGGGAGAGGGATAGAGAGTTAGAAACATCGATGAGAAAGAAACATCGATCAGATGCCTCCTGCACGCCCCCCACTGGGGATATGCCCGCAACCAAGGTACATGCCCTTGACTGGAATCGAACCTGGGACCTTTCAGTCCACAGGCCGACGTTCTATCCACTGAGCCAAACCGGTTAGGGCTAACCTAGTTTTCACAGGATACATTTTCACTTGCTACCTTTTTTTCAGTCATATTTCGTCTTTATATAATAAAAAGTCACAGGTGCTGGTGGCAAAAATGGTGCTGTGAACATAGGAGTGTGCAGAGCTTACGAACCATGAGCACTCAGGGGTGGGGACTCCAGGCTGTGTGCAAGGAACGGAAGGCATTGGTCACATGACCAGGTAGTTGTTTCACCTGACTCTGTGAAGGTGTCTGCCATATGGAAGCGTGTCTCATAACCTCCAAGTGGGGCTCAGGTGTGCCTTCCCCTCACCTAATTATCCTAGAACCTTCTGTGTTCCACCGAACACATTTTGAGAGGCACTGGCTCCGAGCCACTTCTTCGGGCACAGTTTTCTGCTGGTCTCATGACGAAGTTTCTCTTTGTCCTGTAGGCTCCTGGGGAAGCAGACTGGTCTAGCTCCTGACACTCCATACCTGGACCCCTGCTTACCCCTAGACATTAAAGATGAAATCCAGCAAAATGGGCAGACCATGTACCTGCGGGGAACGGGAGACTTCGACCTGTGCCGAGAGACTCTCCAGCCTTTCATGAACAAAACGAACGAGACACAAACTTCCCTCAATGGTGTCTACCAGCCCCCCATCCACTTCCGGAACAGCGAGTTCTATGGCTTTTCTGAATTCTACTATTGCACGGAAGATGTGTTACGCATGGGAGGAGACTACAATGCGGTTGCGTTTACTAAAGCTGCAAAGGTAACCTTCAAGGAAAGCATTCTCTGTGTGCTTTGAGAGACTGGTGTAGGCAGTGGCAGGTCACGCCCTCCCTTTACGATTGGAGGCCCAGGCCCAGGTCGAGAGAAGGGAAAGGTGGAGGATGTCATTGGGAATTGGGTGAGAGAAATAGTCACAGCAGGAGCAAGAAACTCACTTCTGCCCCCACTCCATGAACTAGTCTGCTCTCAGTGGCTCGCAGATTACAGCCCTTCACACTAGTGTGCATAGTGGAATTATCATCTGACAGTATTCCATGCAGCCTTCCTACTTCTGTTCTCTTGTTCTCCCTGCCTTTCTGACACTTTCTTAGGCTCTTTCATGGGTTCCCCCTTCACAACCCCTTAAACTTTGGTGACCTCAGACTTGCACGCTTGGCCTTCTGACCCTCAAGTTCTTGGATGGTGTCATCCAAGCTCATGATTTGCTGCTGTCTTGCAAGAAGAGGCTGCAGTTCTGACCCCCACCCCGTGTCTGCTAGATGTCACGACTCCAAATACATCCACCATTTTCTCCCCACTCTGTCCCTGTTATGGTCTCAGTTAATGGCATCACTAACCATCCAGTCCCCTCCCAGAAAACCCAGGAGTTATAGACTCCCCGTCACTTGTTCATCCCTCGCTGGACACCCCTGTTACTTGCTGTCATAGATATTTCTCAGAGCCCTCCCTGCGTTCTGTCCTACTGTTGTCCTCGTCCCGGCCTGTGTCACTGCCCTATTGCGGGAGCCTCCCAATTGGCCTTCTTGCATCTCATCTTCATCATTCATCTTCCAGCCACTCCCAGAATGTTCTGTTAAAACGCCGTGCCGTCACCTGCCCTGTTAAGACCTGCAGCACTTCCTTTTCCTTCCAGGATACATTTCAGATCCCTTAGCATGTCATCCCCACCCTGTAGCATCACCTCCCCACCTAGCTCTTTATACTGTGATCGCAGCAGACAGCTGTTGGTTTCCCTCACGAGTGCTACTTCCCATTTCATCTTCATCAAGGTGGTTCCTGTGCCTGAGATGCCTGTCCTTACCCTCTCACTCCAGGCTGAGTGCTGTTCTCCGTGTGCCTGTTGCAAGTTGCTCAGCTTCTCTGAGCCTCAGTTTCTTCATCCTTCAAATAGAGATTAGAATAGTAGCCACGTTGAGGAGTCATTTTAAGATTTACATCCAGAAAAGGTACTTACACGGTGCTCAATACATGTAAGCTATTAATATGATTACAGATAGCTTCAGGGAAAGGTGGCATTTCTTTCCCTTCTCTGAAAGACACAGTCCTTTGTAATCATTTTTGTCTTCCCAGCATTTCGTGGGAGAGACTATCTCTTTAAGAGTAACTTTGGCAGAATTTTAAGACCAAGAACAAGCACTCTGCTAATGAGTAGTATTCACTGCATGTCTGTGTGCCTTGTCTTCTTGTTACACACATATAAGTGAGGCTTCTGTTCTAATTGGAAGGATATGCTTGTTATGATAAGAATTTGGTAAACACTTTTTTCAATGAAACAAATTTTTAATAAACCTTTTCTGATGATTTATTTTTGGGTAAAATTTCTTTCAGGATTATTGTGCAACAAAGTGGTCGATCTTACGAGAACGCTTTGACCGAGGACTGTATGCCTCTCACGCTGACCTCCACAGGCTAAAGTAAGTCATGGACAGCCAAGCCCAGAGTGTTTTTAGAAACAGCACATTCAGTAGGGCCCCTAGCTCACTGCACCCAGGCTCAGCCACCTGTTTATCTTTGTCAAGCACTGTTTCTCCTCTTCTGTCCTGGCCTCCTTTCAAACATGATGACAAATACTTATGCCCAAACATATATTGCTCCAAATTTATTTTTGCTCACTTTTCCTGCACTTTCCACCTGGATTCCTCTCTTCATCCTTGGCTGTTGAAGTCCTGCCCAGATCAGTCAGGATGGGCGCTGTTTCTTTTGAGTCTTTCTTTCACCCAGACTCCCTTCTTCCCTCTGGGTCTCCAGAGCACTCATTACGTTTCTCCAGTGGTGTTTACCTTTTCTGCTTTGTTTTTTTAAAAAATCCTTTCATTATAAGTTATTTAAGTATATTTATTATCTTATTACTTATTATAGTTATTATCTATATTACATATAGATATATAGTTATTATCTATTCTATATATTATATTATTACTTATTATAGTTATTATCTATACTATATATATAAAAGGCTAAGCGACCAGCCGACTGGCTGGTAGGTATGACGCTCACTGACTACCAGGGGCAGACGCTTAACGCAGGAGCTGCTGAGCTGCGGTGACTTGGCAGCGGCGGTTCTCGGGTGATGCACTCCAGAACCAGAGAGGAGGGAGCCCGATTCCTCACAGGGCCACGCGATTTCACCTTTGGCTATGGGTTATGTTGTTACTTGGGTACTGTTGGCCCCAAATTTGGTTTACTGCACACTTGTGTTTGCGTTCCGCACCCTGTACGACAGCAACTTTGTGGAGTGCCCTCTCACACTCTGGGACCCCTCAGGGGGATGTCAGAAAGACGGTTTCAGCCAAGGGACCTTACCTGCCAGAGGGACCCCGCTCACTCCATAGACACCCTTTGAACCACGGCTAGGTGTGGCCGGCCGGGGAGGGACCCAAGGAGGTTGGCTCCAGGGCGTGTCTGGCCCATCTCACCCAGTCCCGCCTCGCCTGCCACCTTCTAATTAGTTTCCTTTCAGTGTGCATGAATCTGTGCACCAGGCCACTAGTGTCTTAATAACTTGCTTAGCCCACTGCTTTTCAAAAAGTAAGCCTCTGATAAACAGTTAGAATCATAGAATAACAGAGAAAAGGACCCTCCTCTCTTCTCATTTTATAATAACGAAAATGAGGTCTAAGAAGTTGGAACTTGCTCAGCATTTATTTAATGAATAAGATCTGGAATGCCAGAGGAAAAATTGTGTCACGCAATGCACTAAATTCCCCTGAGTCAGGTTTCATGAGCTGGTTGATTTGCCAGGTAAACTGTTTCGTGTTGTGGGACAAGGGACATAGACCACGTCAATCACCTTGAAATGCAAGTGACTGGTGTGGCTGCACAGAGCACTGGCCTCATGAAGCCGTCACAGCCACATAGGTCCCAAAGGGGAAGACTGTCGTGACAGTTTATTTTGACAAGTGAGTCAGTCCCACGTCTGTGTGTGCTTGGTGTTGGCAGGTACCAGTGCTTCAAGTCTGCCTGGATGTTCGAGGTGTTTCACAGGGGCTTCTCTTTTCCTGTCAACTATAAAACCCTAAAGACAGCCTTGCAGGTGTATGACAAGGAGGTGCAGTGGACCCTCGGCGCAATCCTCTACAGGACCCGCTTTTTACCGTTAAGGTACGGGCGTGAATTGGGAGCAAGAATCAAACACAAGATGCTTCTCTCGTTTGCCATCATCATGGCACCTGTGGTTTGTGAATGTCTGGGCATTCTTGTTAGCACTGACCGTGGGCAGAATTGCAGACTCAATGAGTTTGACTTTGCTCCACCCTCACCCCCAGTCCTTCTTCCCTTGCCCTTCCCCATCCCTTCATATGCAGCACAGGGTTTGATTGTTCTCAAGTGTCAGCTCCCTAACCCCTGCACAGAAGGGTCAGTTCTAGGGTTCTTAACATTTATGGCCTTGGAGCCCTTCTCAAAATAATGTTTTTAATGCATAACATTAATATATAGGTTACAGAGGAAACCATTGTATTGCAATATATTTATCAAAATATTATAGAAAGTAAGTTTGTAATATAGTAATCTGTTTTCTTTATTAACATATAAAATTACAAGGTCTGGCAACAGAAATGGTACCTTCTGTAATTTCAGTGTAGTGTCCTAGTGTCATATTTTAAGGCATCTGCAGAGCACCACAGTGTGAACTAGAGACCTGTGAGTTTTACTAGGAACAAAGTCACAGGTCCTGCTGCTACTACAGTAGTTTGCTGGCTACCTTCATGTCCAGTGGGCACTACATTAGGTGGAGTTGGGTAAAGAAAGATGTGTGCTTTTCCCCATTCAGGTTCACAGACCAGGCTCTCAGTTGACCTCCACAGAAGATCCCTGGTTCACTGACAAATGAGGTCTTAGCTTTTTCAGACCCCTCCCCTCCTCCCACTTCATTTCCTTGAGCACCTGCAAGCAATACTTGTAGCGGGGCTAACTGCAAAAGTTGTGCGTAGTGGGTGTTACTGATCAGAAACATGGTTTGACTCCACATTGCCTTCCGTGTATAGTGAAACCCTCACAGTTCTATATGTTATAACCAAATTATGATTATGAGTGCACTTTCACATGTTATCTCATTAATACTTGCAAGTGCCCTCTATTAGGCCATATTATCCTACATTTTAGAGGTAAGGAAACTGAGTCTCAAGGTTAGTTTTTGTCTGCAGAGCTGTGTCCTGACCTATGCCCCTCTAACCCATGTCCTGTGCACTGTTATGTCACATTATTGCCCGATTAGTCCACTGTGACCTCTCATGGTTGATGGTTTTTGTTTCCATGTGGGCAGAGATATCCAGCAGGAGGCATTCCGGGCCAGTCACGCTCACTGGCGGGGCTTCTCCTTTGTCTACAATCACTACCTGTTCTCCGGCTGCTTCCTGGTGGTCCTGCTCTCCATCCTCCTGTACCTGCTGCGGCTCAGGCGCATTCACAGGCGGATGCTGCGCGGTGGGGCAGCCGCCACCCTCTGGCTGGAGGAGGGCCTTCCGGCCCAGAAGATGGCGGGAACCTTGTGAACAGGAACAGGAGTGAGTGCCCAGGAAGACCTTCTAAAGGAAAAGCCATTTTTGCCTCAGGGTTTCTTCTCTTTATCTTTGTTTTATTTTTCCCTTCCCTTTTTGGTCCTTGAAACAAAAACAAAATCCATTGTGTGTAAACTCTGCTGTCCAGGAAGATTGCATTTGCCACTGCTTGGTACACAGCTTTAAACTGAGGAGTAGGGAAAAGGGAAAATCACTTCATACTTGCTATATAGGACATCTGCCAAAAATTATGGAGATTTTTGGTTTTTCTTTAAGGTATGTTTAATTTTAAACAGATGCACTTTGATAGTGGAGGGAAATGGCAAAGGTGTTTTCTATGGTGGAGATGGGACTGAAGAGTGAGACTTTTACAGAACCCAGAACCTACTGAATGAAATTAAAAGGCTTTTCCCTCTATCTTGAAAGCTCTAACCTAAAGAGGGTGATGTTTAGTTTTTATTTATTGTTTAGGTCTCTCACTATGTTTTCTTTTCAGGTTCAAAAAATCAAAATCTAAAATAGAGAAATATAATATCCAAAATTGAGAAAACTAGCTCCCAGGAGGTAACTATTTTTAAAATTGATAGTGAAAAGACCTGAAAAATGTGAAATAATTACTAAGAGTGCTGTGTGTGTGTATGTGCGCGCGCACGTGTGAGAAAAATGCTAAGGAAAGAGAATGAGGAATACAGTGCTGTTTTGGAAACACACACTTCAAAATTTACTGTTTCGTTTTATTTTATTTAGAAAAATCCCCATTACTATTATCTTTTCCTGACCATAGGTAATTACTTTCTTTATCCCATTTTCCAGTGGCCTTAGAATACCGGGGCTTTGAAAGAGTTGGAAAATTTGTAGTTTCACTGGTTTTGATGTTACTAGAACTTGAACTGGTGCCAACTGACATGTATGCCAGTATTTTTTTTAATATATATATTTTTTATTGACTTCAGAGAGGAAGGGAGAGGGAGAGAGAGATAGAAACGTCAATGATGACAATGATGAGAGAGAATTATTGATTGGCTGCCTCCTACACTTTCTCTACTGAGGGTCTTGCCTGCAACCTGGGCATGTGCCCTCATCTGGAATCGAACTATGACCTCCTGGTTCATAGGTCAACACTCAACCACTGAGCCACACTGGCTGGGCACGCCAGCATTTCTTAGTAGTGCATCTTTGCTTGTTTAATTGTGCTCACATTTCTTCCAACTTAAGTTGGTATTCTCCTCTTAATTAAACGTTGTCTCTGCAGTTTTATTCTGAAGACCCCATACTTAACTTGATAACTTCTCTTTATTACTGTTGGGGTTAAGGCTGCACTGGCAATGCTACTATAAATCCACATTTTGAAGAAAACAAGTCTGATATTTTAAATAGAAATCTAAAAAAGACAACTGGATTGGCGTATGTGAGATCAGTTGTTTTTTTACCAATTCATTGAGTTTGGAACCATTGGGAATGCTTAGATTTTTTAGTTGAATTATGTGTGTGTGTGTGTGTGTGTGTGTGTGTGTGTGTGCGCGCGCTATTTAACCCCAGAAGAGTTAAATCTGTCTAGTTGGTACCAGATGTATATTTCGAGAACTATCAGCTACTTTTAAAAAAAATCACTGATTAGAGAAAGAATTGAGATTCTGAGTGGGATTTTTATCTTGTTTATTAATTACTTAAAATCATGGCATACTGTATATTGATGATTTTAAAAGATTACAGATTTGTGAAAGAAATGCAGATTCTCTTATTATGTTCCTTAAAATGAATATCTTAACAAGGAAAGAATTATTGGTAGACTACAGTCAAACCTCGTTTCTCGAATGTCTTCCATCTTCAACAATTTGGTTCTCGATCAGCTTGTTCACAGAAAGAATGTCTCTGTTGTTGTTGAACCAAACTTCCACCTGGCAACCCTTTCATGCTGATACCTCAGTGTGACAAAAAGCGTATCTCAGGCAACAAAGGAGAGAATGCTTTTGTTTCTGGCAAAATCAATGATTAGCACAATCTTAAAACATAAAGAGGCCATCAAGAGTGCTGATGTTGCTAAGGCTGTGAAAGAAACAATGATTAAAGAGGTAGATTTGGATAAAAGGAGAGCAGTTAGCCAGTGACAGCATTTTAGAGGCAGTGATGTATGAACAAGCAAAGATGCTGCATGCTGACCTGAAAGACACCCTGAATGAGTCCTGAAATGATTCCTTTACGGCTAGGAAGGGGTAGTTCGACAAATTTTTAAAAAGTGTTTTATTAATACAGTAAACTACATTAGGCATATACTGTATATAAGAAAAGTTTTTAAAATGGAATCATTTGGGGATCTGGAACAGATTAATTCCATTTACATTGTTTCTACTGAGAAAAATGATTTGGTTTTCGAACAAATTGCTTCTTGAACAGCCTTATGGGATGAATTAAGTTCAAGAGCCAAGGTGCCACTGTATTTGCTTCTCAGATATTCAGAAGGTGGGAGGAGCTGTGTGGTGTTACAGCAGCTAATGTGGAGAGAATCTTATTTCAGAGAGGATGGAGATAATTGTCCCCCACAAGGAGTCAGCTTAGAAATGCTGGTCTCCAGATACTGAATCTTTGGTCCCTGGTAAGCCCTTTTCTTATCAGAAGCCAGCCACAAGCGAGCTTCTGGAGGTAGAATGAGCCGGTCTGCGTCTCCTCGAGTTCTTAGTTGGGTTTGCTCTTAGACTGGGGGTGGCATTAGTGGTGAAGAAGAAGTAAGTTTACACTGGAGCTTTTCTCCACCAACCATTTGGAATAGTAAGGCCCAGAACTGCAGAATAAAGAATTTTAAATGCCTAGTGTACGTGATTGTGCCTTTACAATCAAGGCACAGGCTAAATAGGCCTGAATTACGACTTCCTTCTGTAAGTAGCTACTGTTTGAGTAAAGGGTGCCTGCTGGTCCTGCTCTGTACTGTTCAGGGAGCAGTGCAGGGATGGACCCAGCAGCCCTGCTCTACACCCGGCCTCGGGATCCCTCTGCAAGGAGCCACCTCACTCACTGAAAGAAAGAAATCCCCAAATTAGGGTTCCAAGGCCCAAACAGCCTTAGACGTGGCACAGCTCAGTGCCCATGCTCCCTGCAGGGAGCTTCCTGAACAGAGAGCTTGACGGATTGTTGCCCATGGGGAACATCTGAAGACCCTTGAGCTGAGACTGTGATTCAATTTTTAAAGGGAACTTAGAGACAAAAAGAAGTTAAGAATATGCAGCAGAGACTGTGGCCTATGGAGCCTAAAATATTTACTGACTGTCCCTGCATGAGCAGTCACATTCAAGAAAGGACACACAGAATTCCCCCTAATTTAGGGGTTACCATTTCATGGGCACAAAAATGATGGCAAGACAAGTGACCAAACTTCAATTTTAAAATATTTGTTTATGCACCAGAATTTCATTTCTTAACCTTTCCTCTAGATTATTTTCAAGATCACTTTTCTAATAAACCAGGAATCATGTCCTTCTCCCCCCGCACCCCCTCCCACACACACATTTAAAAAGTGCTATTCAGGAGGGCTCACTATGTTATGTTGAAATACCTACAATCACAAGATCTCATATCCTTTTTCACCACCTTATACCACAGGAGAGAGACGGCCAGGTGCTTTCTCGGTGGTACAGGGATGGGTTTCTGTGAGAGGCAGGCAGTGGAGAACTTAATTCAGGGGAAGAATTAATGTCACTTAGGGCCAGCCAAGAAGGCTGTAAACTCTGAATACTTGTAATTGAAAGAAAAAGAAATTAGACTGGTGGGTACTTGCTAGAAGCCTTGCCAAAGGAAGACATTCTGTGTTCAGTCTTGGCAGCAGCCACTGCAATAACACTCTGTTCCACTGTCATACTGTGTGCTGCTCCTATGGTCATACTGTGTGCTGCTCCTGTGGTCATACTGTGTGCTGCTGCTGTGGTCATACTGTGTGCTGCTGCTGTGAAGACCCCAGAGGCTGTTCTCAAGATTTCACAGTCCATTTAAGGAAATCGCAGTAAAAGTACAAACATACTGTTTTATACCAGTGGTTTTTGCACATTTCACCCCATACTCCTACCTTTAGGCAGCACCCCCAACCTGGGGGTAAACCGAAGAGGCTGCTGGTGGCTCAGCCTGGCCACCTTGGAGGCCGAGATCACTTGTTCACCACCTGTTGTCCACACCTGTGCACTCAGGTTGGGAAGCTCTAGATTAACAGATATTCAAATTTTAACTTGGCCTTACGTAGAATTGATTTCCTTATAAGAAGCGTGCATTTCACTTAGCAAGAAACTCAAAAAGGCAAATGTGTTTTCCAAGCTTTAAAAAAAAATCAGCTTTAGGATTTTGTGTGGTAACGTGCAATTCAGCAAAACTACAAGTAAATTATTTGTTATTTATTTCTATTTCAGTGTTTTCTTTTTTATGATACTGATTTTCCCTTTCAATAATAAATGACGTGACCAACCAAGGAGAAAGATTTGTTCTGTTATAATGTTATTTTTGCAGTTAGGAATTACAAAAAGAATAAGGGAGCATAAATGTGTTCTGTTTAACGTTTTCCATTTGAGATAATAATTCTCTCTGAGGGATTCTTGTGGTGTGTCACTTTCATTTATAGTAACCTCACGTGGCCACACTTGCACATTAGTAGGTGTTGAGAATCAAACTGAAAGTCCACCAATGGCCCACAGAGTTGTGTGAGCTTGCTTCCTTGTGATTTAACTAGATTTTTCTGACCTTTGAGTCTTGTTACCTGTTGCAATGCTTAGTTGAACTTGATTCTAAATTCAGTAAAATAAATTATCTGAATCTGAGGGCGCTTGTGCGTTTGCTGTGTCCGGTGTGCATGTGGTGAAGTGCCCATGTGCATCGTGGAGAGAGGGGTCTGTGTGTCCTGGGCCACAGAAACCAAACACACCACAAGGAGAAGTGTTTACCAAGGGAAACAACACTAAGCCATTCATCAGCAATAAAGGCCACACCAAGAAAAACAATGTCTAAGGTATTTGTTGTTGTTGTTAATCCTCAGCCCCGAGGATATTTTCCCTTTGGTTTTTAGAGAGAATGGAAAGGAGGGGGAGAGACAGAGAGAAAAACATTGATGTAAGAGACACACACCAATTGGTTGCCTCCTGCACACACCCTGACCAGGGCCAGGGATTGAACCTGCAACTGGTACGTGCCCTTGCCCGGAATTGAACCCAGGACCCTTCAGTCCACGGGTTGACACTATCCACTGAGCAACACTGGCTAGGGCATGTCTAAAGTACTTTAAGTACCTATTGCCTGGCTGATGTAGCTCAGTGATTGAGCATCAACCTATGAACCAGGAAGTCACAGTTTGATTCCCAGTCAGGGCACATGCCCAAGTTTCGGACTTGATCCCCAATAGGAGATGTGCAGGAGACAGCCTATCAATGATTCTCTCTCATCATTGATGTTTCTATATCTCTCCCTCTCCCTTCCTCTCTGAAATCAATAAAAAATATATATTTTTAAAACAATACCTATTAACTATATGTAAAGACAAGAAATGAAATGAACTAACTTATGTATTTCCTCTTATAATAAAAACAAGTGCTGACTTTATGTTACACCATTTTGCATTTCAAGCTAAGCTTAAAGCCATTGGCTTATTTCCAGAGAAATTTGAATCTTATTAATGGTGCTAATAACTCTTAGAAGCTAAAACTTTTTCCAGCTGTTTGAGAATATGTAAATAAAAGTTTTCCTAGTGGAGGGAGGTGGGGCTGAAAATAGATGATGGACACAGATGGAAAGGGAAGGGGACCAGCTGTTAATAAAACCCAAATAAGTGTGTGTGAGGGGAGGGGAAGGCAGACAAGATGGGAGAGCAGAGAGGAGTGAGCGGAAGTGCACGTGAGGACTGGGAGAGTTGTCCAAAGAGAACTTTAAGTATTTCTGAGGTAGTGCAGTAAGTATAGGTCTTTGTGCAGGAGGGCAAATGCACCTCCAAGGCACCTAAAGAGGCCTAATTTACTAACTTGATTGAAGGGAAGTGCGCACCTGTGTGCCATATGAAAGACAGTGGTTCTGGTTTTTTGTTTTTCACTGGTTTCCATTTGTCCCAAGAACCTGGAATACAGGTGGGTCCATTTTTATTTATTTACTTAATTTTGAGACCCTGGAATGCTAATGGTAGCACAGCGGGGTTTGTGGCACTCACACTGGTCTGGGAGCAGAGAAGTGAACATCATCTGTCAGAGTCAGACTGTCTTCTTCAGAAAGGTCCTAAAAAGGCAGGTGCCACCTGTCATCTCAAAGCCCCTCAGCAGTTTGCTCGGAGCTTCAGGGGCAGGATGAAATGCCTCTTTCTATTAATATATCCATCAAGGTTGGCAGACCTGCCACAGAGGGGACGGGCTGCTTGGGCCTCCCCCTGTGCCTTTCCTTGATCCTGTCTGGGCTCCAGACTTCCTGGCCATAAACGTTGCTGTCAGACCTGCAGAAGCCCAGCCAAGAACCCAGGCCTGCGAAGGGTGTCTGCGTTGAGGAAAATATTGACCTCTCCTCACAGAACATCATGGTGACAGGCACAAAAGACAGGCTTCTTGTTTAAACGTGTCAACTCAACTAAAGGAAGGGGGAGGTGGCTTTTGGTTTTTCTCTCGAAAGGAGTTGGAAAACTTAGTTTGTGGCCAGGTCATCAGAAGACAAGAATGTCTTCCTAATTCCTGGTGTGGGACTTACTCTTTCCTTGTATTAACTCTAGGAAGTACCCAGACTGGCTTTTCTTGCTCTTCTCATCTGTATATATAAAAGCCTAAGCGGCGTCCTACCCACCGTTTGACTGTTCACCTAGTCCAGTGGTCGGCAAACTCATTAGTCAACAGAGCCAAATATCAACAGTACAACGATTGAAATTTCTTTTGAGAGGCAAATTTTTTAAACTTAAACGATATAGGTAGGTACATTGTTATTAACTTAATTAGGGTACTCCTAAGCTGGCCTTTGCTAAAAACGTCCTCAACCTGATTGAGGTACGCTCGCTGAGGTCGACCCCTTCCGACTCTCCCATCCACACGCGTCTTGTATACTTGTTTCTCCCAGGCCGAAAACCGACTTCTGTGCATGGGCCACGAAGTTTCCATCGCACTGTATGTGCGCGATTGCATGTGGTATTTTGTGGAAGAGCCACACTCAAGGGGCCAAAGAGCCGCATGTGGCTCGCGAGCCACAATTTGCCAACCACTGGCCTAGTAGCTATGATGCACAATGACCACCAGGGGGCAGATGCTCCAACCAGTAGAGGAAAGAGCCCAATTCCTCGAGGAATCGGCCGTGGGTTAGATTGTTGCTGGGGCACTGTCGGCCCGAATCTGCTTCACCTGCACCCCAGACCCAGAGAGGAGGGAGCCCGATTCCAGGGCGAGTCACCTGAGAACCGCCTTCTCACAGTCCGGGACCCCTTGGGGGATGTCGGAGAGCCAGTTTCCGCCCGATCCCCGCAGGCCAGGCCGAGGGACCCCACCGCATGCACCAGGCCTCTAGTACGCTTATAATTGGCAGTTTTAATGCCACCTTTCACCTATCTTTGTCTTCGTGATAATCAGTTTGAAGTGGGCACTTTTGGAAAATTCTTGCCTGTGATGACAAACCCCAGGAACCCGACTCAGCACTTCTCCTGAGATTCTGTCTTCTCCACCTGGCACAAGCTTTATTACCTAGATTATACATGTCATTCAAAAAGATGGAGACTCTTACATGTTTAATGGGCTCTACTCAGCCTTGTATGCCCTTTATTGTGGTCATGACATCACAAGAGAATTTTCTGGAATTTCCTGGCTGCACTCCATAATGTTCAAATTACATTTTTAAATTCTCTTCAATCTTCTGTGGCCCTATTGTGTGTCAGTGTAGCTGTACCATCCCTGAGCCTCCTTGGGCTCAGGGATCATGTTAACTTTCTGTATTTCTCGATAATCTAGTAAAGAATTATTTGTAGCACATAGTGCTTTGTATATATTTGTAGTGAAGAAAATCTAACTTCTTGGTCAAATCACCTGTTTAGGTTTCTAGGGTTTGTAAAACAAATAGTTTACAAGTATTTTCTTTTCAATCCTCTTTCCAGATTGCAGAGTTTTGTGCAATTTTCAAACCACATACTATGTGAGGTGAAGGGTGAAATGGAATTCCCAGCCTCTCTCAGTCAGTGATCTGTCCACTTCTTTCCCACCATGAAGTTTATTAAGGGAGTGTTACATTTTAATGATTTTAATTTAGAGGAGGAGGAGGGAAGAGGGAGAGAGAGATAAACATGGATGTGAGAGAGATACATTGATCAGTTGCCTCTCACATACACCCCAACAGGGAATCGAACCCATGGTTCACAAGCCAATGGTCCACCCAAGCCACACTGGCCAGGGTGGAGTGTTGCATTTTAAAGCTATATTTAGAAAAAAACTAGGAGAACCAAAATTACTTCAAGCGACTTGATTTCCTTTCTTAACCCATTCAGTCTTGGGGGGAAAAAAGGAAAACGAAGCCCCAGAATTAGGTAGCGATGAGTAGGGGCAAAAGTAAGATGGGTGTTTTCTGAAGCCCAGCATAGAGAAAATAATTTCAGGATATTGATCTTATTCTAAGCATGGCTTCAAAATGTTATCCACTCTAAATTGTCCTTAAAAGTTAGTTACATTTGGAATCTTCCCCCAAAAGCACCAAGTGTAAGGGGAGAAAAGATAGATTTAGCTACATCAAAAGTTCGAAAGCCATCATAGTCAAAGCTAACAGATGGAAGACCAAGAAGGTATTTGCAGTGACTAAAATTGAAAAGGGATTAATATATATTATACAAGATTTCTTGCAAACCAACAAGAAAAAGGAAATCAAAAGAAAAATGAGTTATAAGTATTAACAGGTAGTTCAAAGAAGGGCAAGTCCAAATGGTAAAAAGAAGATCGAGAAGAAAAACTGAAAGTGAGAATGTGCCTCATAGTCACTTTGATGAGATATGGAGAGTAATACTTAAATGCACAACCTCTATTTAAAACAAGAGAAATAACCAAGAAAGCCAGAGAAATGCAAATGAAATTGAAGAGCCACTACCTGTGGCCCTCAGAATTGCCGAACTTAAAATGTTGACAATGCTATGGGGACAACACTCAGGTATTGCTGATGGCCATGTAAACCCCATGGGCACTCTGGAAAGCAAAAGCAGCACTTTGAAGTTAGCTGTGCATATGTCCAAGAGCCGTGTTCCCCCGAGAAATCCCCACCTGGATCCATAAGGGGACTGCAGAAGAATGCTCTCCACGGTGCTGTTGGAGTTACTGTGCTGGAGGCAAGCCAGCTCTTGGA